TTTTCTTTTCTCTTTTTTTTTCTTGGTTGAATATTAAAATCTGTAAGCCTTGCTCATCCTTTCCAAAGCTCAGCTCTGAGAATATATCACGATCAGGATGTTGTCAACAATGGGCGACTAACAACCGGGTAACATTTTCTGTTTGGTGAACAGGGGCTTTGATAAATATCGGCTATTTCAGCGCACCTCACGTATTTCTTCGAAAAACACTGGAAGGTTACCTGTGAATTTTTCCTACTTCGTTAGAAAGTTTACACAGATTATGTTTCAACACACAGACTAGAGTTCGCGTAAAGAGTGGAGTCCGGAGAGATTATGATGTTTATTTTTATAATTAAATGCTATCTTCAAGAGTCTTGCGGGGCCACGGGATATAATCGGTGTGGCCCCGAAAATAAAGGCATTTTTAATTCCAATGGTCAAGAGACCTTCACTAGTAGCAAGAGTTTCAAGAGACGAAATTTCAAGATTACAGATAATGGCATGGAGTTAGAAACGTGATAAACTTAATATGACTTTGTAATGGAATATCGGGGGTAAAAATTTATCGTGTTACTACGCAGGAAAAACTGCCATTATCCATTTTTGCACATTTTATCACCCCCATTCCGTGGTCTGGGTTTTACTGTTTTCACATTCATTCATAAACGCAAAAAATTCTTAGAGCCAAGCATAAGCAGATTTTTTTTTTAAGGTTGATATATATAAAATTGTCAAGCACACTAGCAAGCCACAAACAGATCTTTTCTAGCCTGAGACTCCCAAAGTACACCATCAAGGTTAAAACACTAACTTGGTAACATGAAATGTTCCAGTAATTTTTAATTATCATTTTTTTCTGTACTCTGTTAGAAACACACCAGCTCTGACACCTTTAATGTGGGAAAGCAATTTATTATGTTTACGGGAATTAGTGTGACTAGCCAATTCCTGGATAGCAGGAATAAAAGAGTTCGTATGAATAACGTAGTCTAGGGTATAAAAATGTTGGCATTGTGGGCAGAAGGTCACAGTTATTACAATAATGAGAAACCCACCTGTGCGTGTCACAAACACATGTTTCCTGTGGTTTTTGGAGCTACTAAAATTTTTCCCATATACCAGAAAAAGTCCAATTTAAATTTTCAATGGTTTGGGTAACACTAAACCCGAAATTTCGGTGTGTGAGTGTAGGCCCGTGAGGAAACAACCTCATCTGACTGGATTTAGAAGCCACTGACTGCGTGGTGGTTAGTTTACAACCATTACCAGCCTTGATTTTACGTGCCCACACTTGTTAGTATCCAGAGATAGGTATGTTTAAATAGCTTTATGCCTAATTCTAAGCTATTTCTCAGACTGCAATGCCTCTTGATGTTCTTGACTCTTTAAATTTTGTATACTCATAAAAATAGTAATTTACATCACTCATATCTATCTTTAAGTCAAGTAAGAAACATTCTTTTAATATTTTCTTTTACTGACGTCAGGTTTTGGTGACAGTGTTTGTGTCCTTCCCGAGTATCTGTAAGTTCAAGTACTGTCTTCAATTACGCTTAACTTAATTATTCCGCTGAGTCTCCAAACCCTTTCAATTGGTTTTCAGGAATTTAGCTCTTGTTTAAACTTTTATCCTTTGTTGATCCTCCAGGTATGAGGTTTTTCCCCTCAGATAACTGTTGATGCTCTAGGTGTGGGGGATCTAAACCCAGGTAATATTGTTTTATCCCCGGGTATGAGGTTCTCTCCAGATAGACTGTTGATGCTCTAATGTGGAGGATCTATCCCAGGTAATATTGTTGATCCTCCGGGTATGAGGTTCTCTCCCAGATAAGACTGTTGATGCTCTAGGTGTGAGGATCTTCCCAGTAATTTTTGATCCCCCGGGGAAAAGAGGATCTTCCCCGGGAATATTGTTTTATCCCTAGGTGAGGGTCCCCTCCGGGGTTTTTGTTGATCCCCAGGTAAAGTTTGTTCCACGATGTTATTGGTATTGACGAGTACAGTATATGTGTATGCAAAAATAGCTGAAAATTTCAGGCTGGCAAATGGCCATCATATAACTAAACTCTCTTCCCTCATGTTTACTCTGTCTTACAAATTTTGAACGTTCGAGTTTCACTATATTACTGATTTTCACTCATCTTTATTACTTAACGACTTGTCGACTGAGGATATCGTATATCCAACTTGGACACGTTTATAGTGTATGATATACCTGACTCAATATAATATAACCCACGGAGAACGTTATACTCTACTGGTATGTAAAAATACCCTGCAGGGATATGATATACGAGCTGCTAAACTGATAAGAGACCTGAGATACCATACAAACACTAGACAAAGGAACACTGTTATTTTGTAAGGCTCGTACTCACCACCCCTTGACATAAATATCAGACATTTACCTCTCGCCCGGTGAAGATAGCATCGTTCCTCCAGTAACAACTCCGTCAAGTGTTCCAGATGATGATGCGCATTCGTAGCTCTTGGGCTTGGCGGGGTCACGTCCAAGGAGTTCCGGCAAGGGGCATTTTCCATCCGGGAGCCCACATGTCTACCCACATCTCAACTTGCCCTGTTATGAAACGTGGTAAGACATCAGTCATTGAAAAGCTTGGGACATCTTACTCCTCGTTTTATTAACAATTTCATCCTCTGTCAAAAAAACTACGTGTTTACAGGCGTGTCATAATACCTTCACTGTATGTGGACGTATAATAAGACATGATATGAAGTTTATGGCTTTCACTGAGGAAACCTTCGTACATCGGGGATTTTATCATGGCTTGATAAAGCCATGGTGGGCGAAACGTCTTTATAAACATCGAAAATTCGCATATTGTATCTTAAGAACATAAGAAGAAAGAAAACGCTGCTGTAGCCTACTGGACTATTCTAGTCAAATCTAACTCACGCCTACTCATGACCTTGTATAACTTATTCCTTACAACCACACAGGACAATCGTTTGAAATGAAGCTACAGCGGCGAGTTTGATGAATCAAACCCGCCGTGGAGCTCATTCCAACACTACTACCGAACTACTGTCTCTCCTGTACCTTTTCTAAATCTAAATTTCTCCAACTTGAACCCATTACTGCGAGTAGCCTGTCCTTTGGTTACGTATGTTAGCACTTATTTATATCCTCTTTTATTTAGTCCTGTCTTCCATTTATTACACCTCAGACATATCAGTCCTAATTCTAACGCTACGCCTTTCCAGACAGTGCAGATCAGTGCCCTCTCCGCGTAGGTACTTATCAGTATTTTAAACAATTAACAACATTATTCCTTTCAGCTCGAAATAGTCTAAGAATTCTTGATTTTTTTCCAAGGCTTTGAAATATTCACGTCAGATGCTTAAATGTGGAATAAAAAATGGTTTCTACATTAGTAGTGAGATATGCTCGTAGGTAGTTAAGGAGAAGTGTGAGGAAAGTGTCCTGAGTATCATAGTGACTGGAGCAGCTTAGACACAATAAAAACACATGATACACTTGTGTAAGACATATGTGTAAAGACACTGTGAATCAGTTACGTATCTTTAGTTCTTAAAAAGAGTCAAACTGTAATAATGGTGGTAGAATTACTTAAAATATGTTATGATAAAAGGACACAAGTGCATCTTATGTTCTATTTTATTGTGGGTAACGCTTCTTTTTCTCTTGGAGCTTTGTCAAGAAGACCAAAAGCACCTGGAGAGGAAACGTTGCCACAATAAAATGTTCACACTAGTTTCACCTTTTGTCCTTTTACCTAACAGATACCAAACTGTTGCACAGTTTCTTACTTACAGTGGCAGGTACATGTAAACCATTATCACAGTCCACGTTTCTATATCTTTAAGTTAATGAAACAGTGTTAATCATGTGCCAGGAACTAAATACCATAAGCTGAAGGCAAAAAACTGAATTCCACATAGCACTAAAACACGCGATCTGAGAGCAAGAAACAAAACTGTTGTATTGGGTACAACATCCAGCAGTTGTCAGGAGCCTCAAGTCACGAAGTTGTTTTTCTCGCATATTTTCGGTATTTATAATTAATTGTAATCAATCCCGTAAAAACTGATATCAAAGAAAATTAATTATTTAGTATTTATCAAGAATAGTAAGGTGTCAATAAGGATTTAGAAAGGGAGTAAAATAAATGAATTACCTGTAGCATCTTACTAAAATGATACATGTGCCCAACCAAATGTGACTTTTATTGTGGCATCGTATTCGCTCTCCAAGCCATGACGAAGTTTCCTTGAAAGCGAAACGTTGGCACCACAAAATATTCACATAAATGCACATGTGTCCGTTTACCTAATATAAGAAAGGTAGATATTAGATAAAAAAAAATCGGAACACAAAATTCGTCCTTATAAAAAAAAATGAATGAGGACTGAGCGTCCCTCAGAGTCAGGAGGCCCATTAGCTGAAGAGGCGCCAAGTAGTTAATTTAATGCCGAATTGAGGGCTGGTCTGGGGTGCGGGCGTGGTTTCCGGATAAAGTCCTACGGTGTGAAAACCTCAGGAGACCTTGGAGACTAACATAACCACAGCCTAACACATTGCAATATCCGGTCAGACTGAGAAGAGAATTAGTGGTTTCCGCCATGTAACTGAGAACAGATTACCAGTAGAATGTCTGAAACTGAGCATCAAAGTGTTCACACAGTTCACTGTTGTCCCATGCGACTCCACGCACGAGTGGATTGTAAGTTCACAATTCGACAAGCATGATGGTTACTCACCTGTTCGATGCCAGGCTTATTCCGGTTAAAAGAGGAGGACGAGTCTCAAGTGTTCTGGCACCAGTCTGGCTCCCCCCGGGCACCTCCTCCCAGCGTGAAGCACTGCCAGGGCCAGCTCTCCTCGCTCACTGTTTAGTAGTTGAAATAAGAATACATAAAAATGATAGAATGACAAAGAACAATGAAAGATATAAAAAAAACAAGCAAAAATATCATATATATATATAGTATAATATATATAATAGTATATATATATAATATATATATATATATATATATATATAGATATAGATATTATGATATTTTTGCTTGGTTATTTTTATATCTTTCATTGTCTTTGTCATTCTAACAGTTTTTGTATGTAGTCTATTTCACTACTAACGTGAGCGAGAGCAGCTGGCCTTGGCAGTGCTTTCACCGCTGGGAGGAGGTGCCACGGTGGGAGCCAGACTGGTGCCAGAACACAATGAGACTCGTCCTCTCTTTAAACCCCGATAAGCCTGGCATCGAACAGGTGAGTAACAACAGCTGACGAATAGTGATTTACAATCCACCTGAGCGTGGAGTCGCATGGCACAACAGTGAACTTGGTGAACCACTTTGTTGCTCAGTTTCAGTACATCTACTGGTAAACAGTTCTCACTTAATGTCGAAACACTAATTCTCTTCTCCAGTCTGCCGAATTGCAATGTGTTAGCTGTGGTATGTTTAGTCCCAAGTTCTCCCTGAGGTTTTCACCCCGTAGACTTTAATCCCTGAAACCACGCCCGCACCCCAGACCAGCTCAATTCGGCATTAAATTAACTACGGGGCGCCTCAGCTTATGGGCCTGACTGCTGAGGGACGCTCACCTCATTATTTTTTTTTATAAGGACGAATTTATTGGTTTCCGATTTTTTTTATCTAATATTCTACCTTTCTATATTAGTCAACGGACACATGTGCAATTAATTTGATATTTTGTGGTGCCAACGTTTTTCGCTTTCAGGAACCTTCGTCATGCTTGGAGAGCGAAACGATGCCACAATAAAAGTCACAATTGGGTTGCACATTAATCCATTTTAGCAAGATGCTACAGTAATTCCAATTATTTTACTCCCTTTCTAATCCTTATTTGACACCTTACACTTCTTGATAAATACTAAATAATTAAATTTCTTGATATCAGTTTTTAACGGGATTGTTTACAATTAATTTAAATACATAAAATATGCGAGAAACAACTTCCGTGGACTCGAGGCTCCTGACACACTGATGGGAAGTTGTAACCATCACCAGTATTGTTCTTGCTCTCCAGATCGCGTGTTTTTGCTCCTCCAGGTGTGAGGGTTCTCTCTACACAAACATAGCTGCTCCTCCAGTGGGAGGATTCTTTCCTTCTCACATAACAATAGCTGCTCCTCCAGTGCGAGGTTCCCTCTCACATAAGCATAGCTTCTTCCTCAAGTGTGAGGTTCTCTCTCACACAACATAGCAGCTCCTCCAGGTGTGAGGGTTTCTCCTCTCACATAACATTGCTTGCTCCTCCAGGTGTGAGGGTTCTCTATCTCAAACATAGCTAGCTCCTCCAGGTTGGGGTTCTCTCTCACATAATATAGCTGCTCCTCGAGGTGTGAGGCGTCTCTCTCACTTTAACATAGCTGCTCCTCCAGGTGTGAGGGTTTGCTTCTCCTCACACAACATAGCTGTTCCTCCACGTGTGACGGTTCTCTCTCACATAACATAGCTGCTCTCCAGAGATTGTGAGGGTCTGTCTCACATATCATAAGCTGCTCCTCCAGGTGTGAGGGTTCCTGCTCTCCACATAACATAGCTGCTCCTCCAGTGTGAGGGTTCTCTCTCACATAACATAGCAGCTCCTTCAGGGGTGAGGTTCCTCTCACATAACATAGTTGCTCTCCCGGGGTGAGGGGGTTGCTCTCTCACATAACATAGCTGCTCCTCCAGTGTGAGGGTTCTCTCTGACATAACATAGCTGCTCCTCCCGGTGTGGAGGTTTCTCTCTCACATAACATAGCTGCTCCTCCAGGGGTGAGGGTTTCTCTCTCACATAACATAGCTGCTCCTCCAGGTGGTGAGGGTTCTTCTCTCACAATAACATAGCTGCTCCTCCAGGGTGGAGGGTTTCCTCTCACATAACATAGGTGCTCCTCCAGTGTGAGGGTTCTCTCTCACAATAACATAGCTGCTCCTCCAGGTGAGGGTTCTCTCTCACATAACATAGCTGCTCCTCCATGTGTGAGGTTCTCTCTCAAATAACATAGCATGCTCCCTTCCAGGTGTGAGGATCTCTCCTCTCATAACATAGTTGCTCCTCCAGGGTGGAGGTTCTCTCTCACAATACATAGCTGCTCCTCCAGGGGTGACGTTCTCTCTCAAATAACATAGCTTCTCCTCCAGGTGGAGGTTGCTCCTCTCACATAACATAGCTGCTCCTCCAGGGGAGAGGGTTCACTCTCACATAACATACGCTCCTCCAGGGGTGAGGGCTTTCTCTCTCACATAACATAGCTGCTCCTTCAGTGGTTGGTTCTCTCATCACATAATAGCTGCTCCTCCAGGTGTGAGGCTCTCTCTCACATAACATAGCTGCTCTATCCAGGATAAGGGTTCTCTCCTCACTTAACGTAGCTGCTCCTCCATGGGTGACGGTTTCACGCTCTCCTTTCTCTCTCCACATAAGATAGCTGCCCTCCCGGGGTGAGGTTTCTCTCTCACATAACATACTGCTCCTCCAGGGGTGAGGTTCTCACGCACATAACATAGCGCTCCTCAGGGCGAGGGTTCTCTCTCACAAACCGTAGCATCCCTCCCGGGGTGAGGGTTCTCTCTCATATAAAATAGCTGGCTCCTCCAGGTGTAGGGTCTCTTTTTCACATAACATAGCTGCTCCTCCAGGGTGAGGGATCTCTCTCACATCAACATAGCTGCTCCTCCAGGGTGAGGGTTCTCTCTCTCTCACATAACATAGCTGCTCCTCAGGTGTGAGGGTTCTCCGTTACATAACATAGCTGGTCCTCCAGGGGTGGAGGTTCCTCTCACATAACATAGTTTTGTACCTTCCGGGTGAAGGGTTCTCTCTCACATAACATAGCTGCTCCTCCAGGTGAGAGGGTTCTCTCTCACTAACATACTGCTCCTCCCGGGGGTGAGGGTTCTCTCTCACATAACATAGCTTCTCTCCAGGGGTGAGGGTTCTCTCACACATAAACATAGCAGCTTCCTCCAGTGTGAGGGTTCCACTCTCACATAACATAGCTGCGCCTCCAGGGGTGAGGTTCTCTCTACATAACATATAGCTGCTCCTCAGGTGTGAGGGTTCTCTCCTCCATAACATAGCTGCTCCTCCAGGTGTGGAGGGGTTGTCTTCTTCTCACATAACATAGCTGCTCCTCCAGGTGTGGGGATCACCCCTCTCAAATAAATAGCTGCTCCTCCAGGTGTGAGGGTTCTCTCTCACATAGACATAGCTGCTCCTCCAGGTGTGAGGGTTCTCTCTCACATAACAGAGCTGCTCCTCCAGGGGTGACGGTTCTCTCTCCACATACATAGGATTCTCCTCTCCAGATTTTGAGGGTTCTCTCTCACCTAAAATAGTCTGCTCCTCCAAAGGGGGGGAGAGGGTACTCTCTCACAATAACATAGCTGCTCTCAAGGGTGAGGGTTCTCTCTCACATAACATAGCTGCTCCTTCAGGTGTGGGGTTCTCTCTCACATAACTAGCTGCTCCTACCAGGTGTAGGGCTCTCTCTCACATTAACATAGCCTGCTTTTCCCAGGGATAAGGGTTTCTCTCTCACATAACGTAGCTGCTCCTCCAGGGGTGACGGTTCTCTATCACATACATAGCTGCTCCTCCCTGGTAGGGTTCTCCTCTCACATAACATAGCTGCTGCCCCAGGGTGAGGTATTCTCCATCTCACATAACAAAGCTGCTCCTACAGGGCCGAGGGTTCTCTCCTCACATAACATAGCTTCTCCTCCCGGGTGAGGGTTTCTCTCTCATATAACATAGCAAGCTCCTCCAGGTGGAGGGTTTTCTCTCTCACATAACATACCGCACCCTCCAGGCGTGAGGGCTCTCTCTCACATAACATATCTGCTCCTCCAGGAAGTGAGGTTCCTCTCTCACATAATCATAGCTGCTCCTCCAGGTGTGGAGGGTTCTCCCTCAGCATAACATAGCTGCTCCTCCTCCAGGTGTGAGGTTCTCCCTCACATAACATAGCTGGTCCCTCCAGGTGTGAGGGTTCTCTCTCACATAACATAGCTGCTCCTCCAGGGGTGAGGGTTTCTCTCTCACATAACATACCTGCTATTCCAGGGGTGACCGGTTCTCTCTCACGTAACATAGCTGTTCCTCCACGTGTGACCGGTTCTCTCTCACATAACATAGCTGCTCCTCCAGATATTAGTGAGGGTTCAGTCTCCATAACATAAAGCTGCTCCACCAGGTGTGAGGGTTCTCTCTCACATAACATAGCTGCTCCTCCAGGTGTGAGGGTTTTCTCTCTCACAAACATAGCTGCTCTTCGTGGTGAGGGTCTATCCACCATACATAGTTGCTCCTCCCGGGGGTGAGGGTTCTCTCTTCACAAACTATCTGCTCCTCCAGGTGTGAGGGTCTCTCTCACATAACATAGCGCTCCTCCCGGGGTGAGGGTTCTCTCTTCACACATAACATAGCTGGTCCTCCAGGGGTAGGGTTCCTCGCACATAACATAGCTGCTCCTCCAGGTGTGAGGGTTCTCTCTCACATAACATAGCTGCTCCTCCAGGGTAGGGTTTCTCTCTCCACATAACATAGGTGCTCCTCAGGTGTGAGGTTCTCTCTCACATAACAAGCAAACTGCTCCTCCAGGTGTGATGGTTTCTCTCTCACCTAACATAGCTGCGCCTCCAGTGTGAGGGGTTCTCTCTCAAATAACAAGCTGCTCTCTCCAGTGTGAGGGTTCCTCTCACATAACATAGCTGCTCCTCCAGGTGTGAGGGTACTCTCTCACATAACATAGCTGCTCCTCCAGGGTGACGGTTTCTCTCTCACTAACATACTTCTCCCTCCATGGGTGAGGGTTTCCTCTCTTCCATAACATAGCTGCTCCTCAGGGGAAAAGGTTCTCCTTCTCACATAACATAGCTGCTCTCCAGGGGTGAGGGATCTCTCTCACATAACATAGCTGCTCCATCAGGTGTGAGGGGTGTCTCTCTCACAATAACATAGCTGGCTTCCTCTCCAGGTGTGAGGGCTCTCTCGCACATAACATAGCTGCTCTTCCAGGATAAAGGTTTCTCTCAAACGTAACGTAGGCTGCTCCTCCAGGGGGACGGTTCCTCTCACATATAGAATAGCTGCTCCTCCCTGGGTGTGGGTTTCTCTCCTCACACCTAAATAGCTTGCTCCTCCAGGGTGAGGTTTCTCTCTCACATAACATAGTCTGCTTCTGCTCCCATGGGCGAGGTTCTCTCTCACATAACATAGCTTCTCCTCCCGGGGTGAGGGTTCTCTCGTCATAT